GGCGGCCGGGCCCGTCCCTGGCGGCCGCTCTGTCAGCCTTTCTTCTGCTGCTGTTTAGCAAAGCAGCAGGTGTCAGGTGGGTTCGCCGCATCGTCAGCGCCACAGACGACCGTGGTCAGACGAGGGAGGACGGAGCCGTGTTCTACGGGGAGGCCAAGAAGGCCGGCTCGTGACCGCGACCGCAGCGGCCTGCACCAGGGGACGTCACACGCCCTGAACACACGGAAGGTGTTTGCGTGCGATTTCTCCTCGCCGCCCCCCCGCGTCGTGGGAGCTCGGTGGCCGTTGGGGGCGTCCTGCGGAAGCCACCTCTCGGGCTGTAACATCGATGCAGAGAGAGGGAGGCTATGGAGCCGCTGGAACGATTCGGTCTTCTCCGCGCCGCTGCCAGCGAGGGATGCGCGTCCCGTATCAGTTCCCGCGGCAGCTTGCAATCCACGGCAAACTGCAAACATGGTTCCCTGCAAAACAGAGGGCTGCAGGGTCTCCAAGGGGCGGGCCCTGTGGGCGGCAGGACACCTGTGACCTCAGAGGCCCCGGGGCCCCCGGGGCCCGTGGGGGAAGGCGCGGGTCGGCCAGGGAGGCTGAGGCTTGACCTGCTCCCCCTCCTCCTGGCTCCCAGGGGCTCTTGGCCTCCTCTCCCCGCCGCTGCCCGGCCGGTGGCGTCGCGCCGAACCTGCCGCGGGGAGGTAACCTGGGCGCACGCGGCCCCCGCTCTCAGCCATGACACCCGACGTCACTCTGTCCGCTCACAGGGGGGCTCTCCTCTTTAAACATGCTTCGTTTTAGTCTTTCAATTGCAGGTGACATTCAACGTCAGGCGTGCCGCACAGCGGTCAGACGTTCGTAAAACTTGTGAAGCGGCGCCTGCCTGGCCCCTCCGCAGCTGCAGGCCGCTGCCTCTCCGTCCCCTCCCCTGCCCACCCCGCTTCAGGGCCCTCCCCTCCGGGCCATCGGTCTGCTCTCGGTGCCTCTGTTTCGGCCTCCGAGAGGCCAGGACTGAGCACCTGCCCGCCACATGGGGCTTCCCCACGCGGAGTTGGCTGTGTCCAGAACGCTTGGCCTCGCGCTCCCCTTTGGTGACAGATCCCTGGTTCTGGTCCCCAGTGAAGGCACACATGAAAAACTACAGGAATCTGGAAACAGCCATCGAGAGAATGAAAGTTGTGGGCCAGTTTAGGGCTTCTCCGCCTTGACGCCACCCCTGAGGACTTCGTTTCATACCCGCTGTGGAGCTGGGGGCAGATCGCTGCTCTTCCAGTTCCAAAAGCAGCTGCAGTTTTGTGGGTGTTTGCTCGCTTCTCTCACCTAATTTCTGCTGTATGGCCCCCTCCAGCCACAGAATCAACCCTTCCTAGGCCTGATGGCTTTTGGAGAGTTTGGAAAGTGAATTTCAGTTCAGTTTATGGTGCAAATCACGCCGGCCCTGGGGGTTTACAGCTCTTGGTTAATGAGGGTCCTGCAGAGCCCACCCAGAGGTCGGGTGATATTGGAAAAGACGCCGAATAACTCAGCCAAGATGCACTTAATTTTTAAAACACCCATTATGTTCTGTCCTAAAGATTTTGAACTCCCTTTTTATATTTCTTAAGAGATAATGAGTAGCTTCAGCCCGAGAGCCTGCGGGTCCGGACAGAGTGCGGAGCGACGGAACCTCATTTTCTGTTTATTAATTTTTCAGCGCGTTCAGTCGTCGTCCCTTGATGAGACCAGGTGTGTTTTTCCCTTTGAATGGGCGCCGGTCAGCGTGGCTCCCGACGCCGTGATGAGGGACACCCCGCTGCAGGCCGGACCCCAGCCCCCACGCGTGCGTTCCTCTGCGGCACTGGGCCTTGCGCGAGGGGGCCGCCCTTCCGCTCTGCGCGGGAGGCGCACTCCTTTCCAGGCGGCGCCAGTTGCTGTGCGAGGCTGCCGTTGCCCCGTGCGCACCGCCCGTCTGCGGCGGCGAGGGTGGCGGCCGTCCCGGGCTCTCCTGTCTGCCCTCCCTGCGGCCCCGGCCTCACGCTGTGTGGACACAAGATGCCCTCAAAGCCTTCGCTGAGTTGGAGGCCATGGTCCGCCTCGCTGCCGAGCGACAGCGGCGGGCCTGTGCCCCGTTCTGACGCCCAGTGTGGGGGCGGTTTACCGGTGTCTCCGAACAGTGCGGGGGAACCGAGCGCCGCAGAGACGTGTCGGGCTCCACGGGGTTGTCAGGCACCCAAACGCAGAGTCGAAGTGTCCTCATCCGAAAGCCGAGCGCAGCGCAGTGTGAGTGGTTCCCCCAGCTCTGCGCGGGGCAGCAGGAGGCAGCGCCCCGTGCGGCCGCACAGCCTGCCGTCCTGCCGGGGGTCAACGGGAAGCGATCTGTGCAGTGGGCCCTGTGGTCTAGCCCCCGAGAGTCCATCGGTTAGGCCTCCGTGGCTAGAACAGCGCTGTTTACCCAGCATTCTCTCACGGTGGCTGCGGAGCTGGCGGACCCCGGGTGTTCAGACGGGCCTTGTCCCCGAGCCTGGAAAACTCCCACACCTGCTGCTGCCCTCTGACCGTTTGCGGGCCACGCCGCCAGGATGCGTAGCCACAGCTTCAGACGGTGGCGTCCGCGTTGTTCCAAGTGACCTTAATTTTCAGAGGTATACAGAGTGAGAAAACAAAGTGTAAGGGCAGCGGGGCTTGTAACCGACTATCTTAAAATTCTATTTATTTCTGTTTCTGCTAATGAGCTGATGAAATTGAATGCAAAGGAAGACTCTCCCTTGTAGCGTTATTGATAAAATGCCAATGGATTGGTTTTTTTAAAAATAAATGTTTGCTCTTACGTTAGTGGAGGCCCCTCCTCATGTCTCCGTGTCCCCAGTGCGGCTGACGGCTCGGGCTCCGCTTCACCTGACTCTCGGCGCGGTCCGGTGTAACCTGCGACCTTGGCGAGCCCGTCGGCCTCCGTGAACTTGAGCTGCTGCTTGCGACTCGAACCCCATCCCCAGACCGGCCTGACGCAAGCAGCGAGGTAGGTGCTGGGGGCCTTCGGCTCGGTGCTCACCACGCGCTCCTGGCCTTTTCTCCCGAAGCCGATGGAGGATGCTCTCTAGGAGCCCTTGATTCGTCCATTTAACTTTCAGCGGCAGAGGAATCAAGGCTGGACAGTGAGTCACGGAGCTCTCTGCTCTTCCGGAAACGGGACCGCGGCACCGAAAGCTGCTCCCGTGGGGTTTTACTGCTGACTCCGCTCTTTTGCTTCTGTCACTTGATGACGGGACAAGCTTAAGTCCTTTCTACAGCAGCCTTTGGATCCCTGGCTGGTAGAAGCCTGCAGATGACTCATCCGTGTTAAAACAAGCCGGCCAGCTCCCGGAGCCGCAGCTCTGACCTTCAAAGGCCGCGGGGCCCGGCCCTGTCGTGGGGGGGCCTCCTTGCGCCATCGTGGCAGGGAGTCATCTCTTTGGCTCCTCCCCGCTCCCGAGTCCCTGCGGGGTGGCTGGTCTGGCCCCTGGGAAGGACCGGGCAGCCCACTCACAGCACCGCGGCGTCCCGCCTGGCTGCGTTATTAGCGTCTAATTAGAGACTTGGGAGCTGCGAATGTGGCTCCGGTGGAATGAACAGAGACGGGTGAAGCAGTTTGCGAAGGGATTGCTGAGGAATTCTAACACGGAGCAGTGTGCCCGGTGGGTGTCTCAAATGCAGCCTACCCGTACCCCTCAGATGTGTGGACATCCAGTGCTGTCCCCTCTCCGGCCCCCGCGAGCCCCCGACGCAGAGTCGGATCTGCACTGGCTTTGATGCGGGGTTATCTTCGAGCCTTAAGTGCTGACGAGGTGACTTGTTCTGCCGGAGTCGAGGTGGCTGTGCGCCGGTGGCCGAAGCTTCGGTCACTTGAATGTCCAGAGCTGACTGACTCGATTGTAGGGAGATGAAATCGAGGGGAATGACACCCTGTCTGTCTTCCCCAAGGATGAAAACAGTCATGACCTATGCGCTGTCCCCTTGTCACCAGATAGCAGGTGACTGCTTCCCTCCCGGTCCCCCTGCTCCCTGATGGAGACATGGCCCGGAAGGGCCTCTGGTTTGTCCACAAAGAAAATGCATCCTCTCTATGACTATGTGAAAATAAGCCTCTTTCAACTGTACGGGCACCTTGAAAGACATTGCGCCTTTTTAAATGAACATTATAATAATGAAAATATCAACTGAGTCTGTTCTGCAGGCATGTTGGTGAGTCCTCTGAGTCGCTGTTCCCCTTTGTTACCAGAGGACCCTTCTCAGGAACGAAGCTTGTCCGTTTCTTTAGAAAGGGACCCGGCCGCAGAGGCGCTCCTAGGCCTCAGCATCTCGTTTGCTTTGGCGCTGGGCCCTGTGGAGCATCCCGCGGCCCCCTGGCCTTCCTGTGGGCGCCCTGCTTAGGCCGCTTGATCGGTTCCGAGCCAGCGTGCTCTCTGGATGTGAGCCTGCGTCCTCGTCCCTGGCAGGTGTTGTCACTGTCACCTTGAAGCGCATGAGGGAGATCCCTCGCCCACGAGAAGCCCCGGTAGCGACACGGGAGGGGCTGACGAAACCACGCTGACCGCAGGCTCAGTGCGACAGCCAGCCCGGCCGGGGGTCCAGCAGGTCCCGCTCCGGAGGGAGCCGGCGTGGCGGCAAGGGGGGGGCGGGGCGGAGTTTTCGATGTCCCTGGCAGTTGGCACTCGCTGCGTCCAGGCGAGATGAAGGCGATGCGGTGGGGCTGGGTGGCCCACGGCCTTGAAGCTGCCCGCTGACCTTCTGACCCCTGGGGCTCAGGGCAGCTCCGGAGCCTTATGACTTAGTTACCAAACCACTAAACTACCTTTATGAGGGCGAAGGCTTCTCCGGAGACCATTAACCTGCGGGGTCACAGGGGTTCTGAGGCCGGCGGCTCTGCGCCAGGGGAGCTCAGGAGGCCGGCGGCAGCCCCGCCCCCCGGCAGGGACGTATAAAGGCCCTGAGCCTGAAGGGACACTCACACCTCGGGAGCAGGCTGCAGCCAGCTGTCCAGAGCCTCTGTCAGCACCATGCCCTACAGCTACTCCGCCAGGAACTGCGCTGCGCGGCCGGCCCCCGCCCCGGCGGCCCCGGCGGCCCCGGGCACCACGCACGAGGTCGACTGCCTGAGCAGCCTCTGCCTGCCCAGCTCCTTCCAGACCGGCTCCTGGCTCCTAGACCACTGTGGCCGGGAGGCCAGCTGTGAGCCTCCAGCCTGCCAGCTGACGTCGCACGTCTCTGGCCCCGGGCAGGTGCCCTGCCCTCGGCAAGCCCCCTGTGTGTCCAGTCCCTGCTCAGCCCCCTGCAGCCGGCCGCTCACCTTTGTGTCCAGTAGCTGTAAGGCGCAGGGCGGCGCCTCCGCCGCAAGTCCGCCGGCCTGCGGGGTCCCCAGGACCTGCAAGAGACCCTGCGTGTCCGGCTGCCGGAAGACGTGCTGAGCGCCCCGGAGCCCGTGCCGGGTCAAGCGTCCTGAGCCGCCGGCTGTCCCCGGACCTCCTGCATGCTGCCCGCCCGCGCCGCGCACCCCTCGCCTCCACCCCCGCTCTCGCCGCCTGCTCGGGCCGCCACCCCGGCGGAGCTGCCTCTGGCCGCCTGTGGTTTCCCGGCCAGCACCAAGCTCCCTGGAAGGGCTGGTCCCTGGCGGCGCATATGCCTCCGGATGCTTCCAGAAACTTCCCCAGCCGTGCCCCGGCCTCTGGTGGTTTTGACATGTTCTGACTTTGCTGCTGTGTCTCCTGATTTTTTGCTTCTGAGGGAAGGGACTGTCTTGCTCTGTGCGTTTCAATAAACCTGCATCCCCGGCACGACAGACGCGTCTCGGTTCCTTACTTGTGAGGGGCTCCCGGTCGTCCTTTGCTCACTGGGCTCGGGTGTTCTTTCCGAGACCAGAGCGGGTGCAGTCACTGTGCTTGAGGGTGGGGACAGGGACGGGGGCGGGGACGGGTGTGTCTGACACTGGCCCGGGGTAGCGGGTGTTGGGACACGCCCTCTCCCCTGCGACCCCTCCAGCTGATCTGGGCTCACAGAGTCATCTCCGTGCAGGACAAAGGAAAGTCACCTGGGAGAGGGCGCGTGGTTGGGGGAGGTGCACTGGGCGGTGGCAGTACAGGCCGGTGGAGGTCCCGGGGGCGCAGTGGGAACCTTCCCGAGATCCGCCTGGTCCGCTTGCAGGCCGGTGAGCAGCGCGGAGGAGGAGGGGGGGAGGTGGGCGTGGGGCAGGTGGCTCCGCTCCTGCTCCCCTTGTCTTCCCCTCCTGTTGTCCTCACCTGCGCGCTGCACGGGGACTCAGCCCTGTGGCCTCGCCCGTCTGGGCAGGAGAGACTCAGAAGCAGCTCCAAGCACAGGTGGGCTGGTGGTGCCTGCTTTGCGCTCGCTCCGCAGGGAGCCTGAGAGCAGAGGTCCCAGGGCAGCCGCACACTCGTTCCTTTGGCCTTTCCTGCCACTGGAGACCTGGCCGCCAGTGGGTTTGCTTTTGTTCTCACCCTCCCGTACATCCAGAGACGCTTCTGCGTTTCCTTGTAGAGTTACCCAAGGAGGAGTGGAAGAGGACGCTTTTAGGGGCAATGGGGTCGCGGGTGGGAGTGGGCGCCCAGGGCTCCCCTGCTGCGTGGGGCTCGCGGCGCCCGGTGCGCAGTCCTCCCCCGTCTCTGCGTCCGCGCACCCTGCTGCGCCACCGAGGGCCTCGCCGAGAGGTGAAATGTGCCCGGGATTTTCGGACAGACGGCGCATTCCCAGGTTTTCCTGTTGTGGACTCTACTCTTAGAGTGGAGGGTCCTTTCATCAAAGACATGTCAGCATGCGTGACTGCGGGAGACGCCTCGTCGAAGCAGGACATGGCGTTTACTGTGTGGTCGTCGGTCCCCGTCCTTCCGGGTCGACGCACCCGCTTTCAGAAACGCTCCGGCCTGTTCTAAGGCAGCCCCCAGGGGGACCCCAGACGGCCCCTAAAACGCTGTTCTTGGCATGACCCTCGCTGTTTATTTTAGTCATTTCACATATTCTTGGGAAAATGCGAAGTTTTTCAGAGGTTAACCAATTATTTTTCAAAATACTCTTTATTCTTCAGCTTCCTGGGTTTCAATAAGAAGCCCGTGCAGAGCTGCCTTCGCTGTTTATTTAGATGGTCAGTCACCACACACACGAGGAGCGGCCTCCGCCGACCTCGTTCGCGGGCTGGCTCGGGCGCGCCTTTGCTCAGGCTGTTCCCTGTGGCGCTGGGGCCAGGCAGGGGCGTCGGGCGGCCCTGCCGAGCTGTCTCCTTGCCTTCATTTCTGTTCGGGGAATCGTCTGTTTTGCTACGAGAACTGTTCTGTTTGTACGTTGAAAGTTCTCTTCACTGTTTCCTTGATCTCACAATAAATAGTAAGGTTTCCAGTTTGTCTTGAGGACAGTCCTTGACAATAGGGCGGGGGGGGGGGGGGGTTCTTTCTCTCTTTGCTCTGGGGACTAGGCATGCATCCTGCGCGTACCATTGCCTGTCGCCGGGGGGAAGCAGGTCGAGGGGCTTTGGTTCACGTCCTGGCTCTGTCGCTGGACGGCAGTGCGTGAAGCCCCCTGAGCCGTAGCTCACCTGTGAAGCGGAGATAGTGATGGCATCTCGTGTTTCCGGGAGTAAACCGAGACGACGTGTGCACACTGTCATTCGACATTGGAGTGAGATCGGCGGTCTCCGGCCCTTTCCCCGGTGGGAGGGAGTCCCGGCACTCGGAGCTGTCTGAGCCGGAGGGCGTGGAGAGCCGGGACTTCCTGTTTCTTCCCCATCTTCTCTGGCTCAGAAGGGAGACTTCAGAAGAACCGGCTCACTTCCTCGCCCCTCTTCCCCGCTCTGTGGTCAGGTCCTGCGCAGACCAGCGATTCGCATGGCTCCGCTGCTTCCCGAGGTCGCCACACAGTCCCCCGGCCGGCGCGGGCGCGCGTGGGTCTCGTGGCCTTCACGGAACGGGCAGAGCGCGCGCAGGTGTGGCGGGCACTGGCGGCCGTCCGCGCCCTGCCACGTCGGCCATCCCGCCTCGCCGTTCCACGCTGCCGGTCATCAGCGCACGCCCACGTCCTCCAGGTTCTGCGCCCCCAGACTTAAAGTCACGTGTTCCAGAGGCTGGTTGTGTCCTCACTTTGTCCATAGTTTTATAAATGAAGCACCATGTGAGAAGAAGGGCAGGAAAGTCAGGGGCTGGGTAGCACCGGGGTGGCTCACACCCCGCGCGGGAGGTCTCCGGTGACGGTTTTCGTTCAGAGATTGTCACACTCGAAACCCCCACGGGCCACCCTGGTGGGTGTGAGCACACGGCGACCGGACCTTCAGGCGGAGCTGAGCCGCTGCAGCTTGGGCGGTGCCGTGGGCGTAAGGACGGGTGGTTAAACACGGCGCGGTTTCTGTGGAGGCGGTCTCGTGCCCAAGTTCACACATTTTCACTGATCACCTCCTGTATCTAGAAAGAAACTTGCGTGCTCTCTCTCACAAATCGTGGGCACGTCCTGCACACTGGATGACACAGCGCATCGGGCTGACCGTGGCTCGGCTGCGAGGCACACGCAGGAGCGAACCACTGAACTCCTGCAGCTAAAGAACGCTTCCTTGAGCAGTTCAAGTGTGAATTTAATAGCTGCCCACTGACTTTGAAAATATAGAATATAGTTTATACGATTTGCTAACAGTGCTTGAATTTCTCTGCAAAGCAAGGAAGTTTCTTAATAAGCCACGAGATGGTAAGAACCGGAAACAGGATTTTCCAGACAAAGAGTGTTCGCGTTGAGAGGAAACGTCCTTAGGTGAGGTCACACTTTGCGATGAGGGAAAGGATGCAGATGTGCCCAGCCAGGAGGTGACACAGGCTCCAGGGACCTGGTCCCCTCGCCCCGAACCTTTCCCTCTGGATCGGGCTGCGACCCTGTTTCTCTGGGAACCTGCTCTCGGAGGCCAGGGGACCCGTAACCCCCAGGCCCCCGGCCGCGCGGGTGTGCTGTGCGGGCAGGTGCGGCCATGTCTCCCTCTGGGTCGGAGCTTGGGAGCTGCGCTTCTGAGGCCTGCGTCGGAGGCTCTGGAGTCCCAGGCCCGAGGCCACGTGTGGCCGCAGTGTGTCCCTGGCCGCGGCCGCCCTCCCGAAGTCACCGGCTGTCGCGCAGTCCACAAGTAGGTCCCGGGTCTGCGCGCCCCCCGCCCCGGCGTGCCCCCCGACGCCGGCTCGCTGCGGAGCGGTCTCAGGCCCCCGCGCCCCCGAGCCACGTGCGCGCACGCTCCCCGCCCGGATGCAGTCCGCGTCCTGTCCGAGGGTGAAGCAGCTTCCCAGGTGTTTTTAGAAATCAGCGTTTTCTTTTTGCTTTTCATCTCTTTTGCTTCTGTCGTTTCTGTGCGTGTTTTTATGTTGATAAAAGTAATGGCTCCGGTTCGGTTGACGTATTTCATCCTCGATCTGAACTGTTTTGCATCATGTGCCCAACGACGGCCACTTGCCCCCAAAATCCTCGCTTTTTTTTTAAAAAAAGGCAAGCTCAGAATAATTGTTTTGCACAGGGCACGTTGACATGTTAGAACAGTATTATATGGAGCTACAGTTCTGTGGGTCATCAAAGAGAAGTAACTCCTCTCTCCCTGAAAAGAAAAAAAAAAAATCAGGTGAAATAAATCGAAAAAACGCTGGGGGACTGTAAGTGGGGCCGCCTTGTGTGCTGTAGGTGCGACCTGAGCTTCCGCTGCACAACGCACAGCGTGGAGCTGAGTGCGGAACAGAGCTGGGGCTGTGCCCGAAGCCGCTGTCGCTCCCTGCATGTCCTGAAAGGCCAGAGTCTCGCCCGGCACGCGCTCCGAGGCCGGACGTTAGTGTGCACGCGCCCAAAGGCGGGTGGGTAATTTTTGTGGAAGTGTGGCTTTATGTGTCAGCTCTCTAGCTTTAATTTTTGAGGTGTATACAGTCACAGTACTTTCAATAGTTACTGTATAAAAAGTCGGTTTTTCAGATTTCGAGGTTCATTCTCAGCCTGCGCCATCCCTCGCTCTGCCAGCCCGGTTGCCGTTCCTTACGGCCTCTCTGGTGTGTGTGCTCTGGTCCGGAGGGTATTGTATCTGAGCTCATGGGGGTGCAGCTGATTTAGGCGAGCGACATAAAGGGGTGTGTGTGTGTGTGTGCCCACGTGTGTGTGTGAGAACCGACTTTAATCCTAGGACATTTCCATTAGGTTTCACGTAGGCTATGTCCTGCCCGGTAGAAAGAGGAGGAGTTGTTGCCAGCCTTTTCTTGAGGAAAAACGGGTATATACCAAATTGACTAGAAAATCCTGCTAAAATGGACAAGCAGGAAGAAGCATAATATAGCTCAGTAGACACAAATAAAATGAAAGCTTAAATAAAACCCCAAATGGGACAGGAGCTAAGAAACGGTGAGAGAGCCGGGGCAGCTGCGCGCACACTGCGTACAGGGCGTTGGCCCTTGCGCAGCCCTCC